GTCACATTTCTCATTTATCTAATTTCCTTTTATTACAATTCATAACTACATTAATCTTACACATGTCTACTACTATCACTACCTCAGATTCAAGACCAGTAGTCATGTAAATTAACTAGGTATGTTAACTTCCATGACGGGTGTTTGGGGGGGGCCGGAGGCCGCTGATCTATCGGGCCGAGGTAGGCTCTCTGCGTGGTAGGGTGTAGGGGTGGGTGGGAGGATAAGAAAAATTTGATATCTGAAAATGTGAGAGAAATGGTGCTTGAAGAGGACTTCTTGAGTTGTTGTTTGGTTCAGTGAGTGAAGGTGAGGAGTTTACTTCCTTAACCTTCCCTTGGTGAACGTGGACTCTATCATCTACTATCTCGGTACTGTTCTGTTTCCGGTCCCGAGAGATTCATCTCGAGGGCATATTCCTCTTTGAGCTACATGGAACTTACAGGTACCGTCGTGCCTTTGGGTACCTGTATCACTCCATTTCTCTCATGGTCACATTTCTCATTTATCTAATTTCCTTTTATTACAATTCATAACTACATTAATCTTACACATGTTTACTACTATCACTACCTCAGATTCAAGACCAGTAGTCATGTAAATTAACTAGGTATGTTAACTTCCATGACGGGTGTTTGGGGGGGGCCGGAGGCCGCTGATCTATCGGGCCGAGGTAGGCTCTCTGCTACCATTACTCGGGACGTATCGTCCGGAGCCTGCGGAGAGCCTCCTTCGGTATGGCACGAGTTGCCCTTAACGGTTTCCTCAGCTATCCCCCGAATTCTTCTGTATCACTAGTGAACTAGCCTCCCTCACGAACCCTCACTTGATCGAAGATCTTTCTCACGGCTTTCGATCGACAAATGTCTACGCTGACTTGGATTCATGAAAGCAAGGATCACCACGAAACAAAAGGGAAAAACAGAAAATAGTTGGCCTCGCTTTTCATTACTTTTTCACTTCTTTCTATCTCTCTTTTCTAAATTACTATCAAATTTTCAATTAACCACTCCTTTATTCTCCTTCCACCACCTTCTTTATCTTCTTTTCGATTCCTTTTCCTCCACCGTTTGAAAACGACTTAGGTCCAGCCACCACCTTGACCGCCAGGTCGGCCAGCTTCATCTCTTCCCACACATATCGTGCATCTTGAGAATCTCCAATTGTATACTTCCTAAGGTACACTTGGTAAGCTTTTGACTCCCATCTTCCAAATTTCATTATAGTCTCTAAAGGATGTTTTTCGTTCCACCGAAATGTTGCTCCTCCCACTCGGAACGAGTGTCCGGTTAGATCATTTCTTGCTGGATTCGACTTCGACCACACACTCCTACAAGTGTTCATAAAAACCGACTTCGTCAACTGGATCCTGCCACCTTTTTCATCCGGGTACGAAAAGACTGGTTCCATATAAACATCTTTAGGTGTTTGTCTAATTAGTATCTGGTTGACTGCATTAACGGGGTCAAGAAGGGAAGCTATCGATCGTAAATGTAACCATTGGATCTTGCCGGGTCGTGCTGTTTTAGCTGCATGTAACGCAAATTTCAGGTAGGTTCCATCTGCTGATCGCAACATATCTTTCACCAGAATCTGTCGTTTCGATTTGTTATCTGAGACTAATTCACCCAATCTCGCCATCCCCCAGAACGCCACTAATGCGACTGCCAAGACCGCCTTCTCTTTCCATGAGCCATCAGCTAACGCTAATACCAATTCAGCTAAGTGTCGAAGTTGGACAGGTCGTTTCTGGACCTTCACCGTGTCTTTCTCTTTCGACTCGGCTACTCCACATGCCTTCAACATCAACTTTACTACTCTATCATTTTCCTTGGGGAACGCTTTGTCATGAAATAAATGCCACGACTGAATTCCGGTAATATACTTAGTAAGTGTTACCAAGCCTATCTTATGTTTATCGCGCTCCTGATTTGTCGATACTTCCTCTTTCAAATACGTGTTAGATTCTTTACCAGCCCACACTATAAACTCCTTCAAGTACAATTCGCTCAGAGGCAGGATCTCATTCCGTTTCTTCCCGATCAAATCGCCAAACTTCAAAAGTTTTGATATCGCCGCACTGTAGTTCTCAAGAGTGCCTTGTGACCAACTACCGCTTAACAGCCTACGCTGTATTGCATTCGACCGCCACGTCACTGCCCTAGATTCAAAGGATCGAAAGGTGGGTCCACAGTCAGCTGTGTTGTTTCTCTGATGGAAAGAAAGATTGACTAAATTTTTATATATATTCGTAACTCTCACATACCCAAACTCATCCATCAGAAACGGTTTAATTTTCTTTTCAATTTCCATCTTTCTGTTTTTGCGATCCTCTTTTTAAGAGGTCAGTCAAGTCTGTCGGGATGTTAATGACTACTTCGTCTTGTTTTCCTAGTGAACCTCGGTCTCCTCGTGATAAGTTATCAGCAAGATTATTCTTTGATGTGACTCGATTCGCAACTAGGTCACATTGAAATCGTGCCAGGTCTTTTTGTATTCGCCTCCACTCGTCGTTTACAAGTCTGTGTTTCGATTTACGGTTTCTCACTGCTGCGTGGGATGTTGTGTTATCGGTGAGTAAAAGGAATCGTCTACCGAACATTGGCATGAGTTTCTGTACCACGTGTAATCCCAACCGAATTGTGACAGTTTCCAACCAATTGATGTCACGTCGTTGATTTTTATTTGACAGGCCGTTTACATCCCACTCTTGTAATAGTTCAAATCGAGCCCATCTAGATCCAATTAAAATCCCAATACCGTAGCTAGTGCTTGCATCTCCCACCCATCCGATTTCGACGGGTTCGACCTCGGGAACAAATCGTAGGTGGTCAAAATTCGCCAACGTCACACGCCATTCTTCAAGGTCTTCTCGAGCTCCCTCTGGTAAGCTCCTTAAAGCATTATGATTATACCACTCTGACTGCCACTCGTATAAACTCCCCATATAACACTTCATGTGTGGTAAGATGTGTATCAAATGTACTAACCTTCCAACTAATTTTTCCACTTCTTTTAATTTGTGTTTTCTTGGCGATGTAAGGAAGTCTTCCACTTGTTGTCTCCTCTCGGCCAACTTCTCCTCTGGTAACCGTACAGTCTTATTATCACCGTTCCATATAAAACCAAGGTATTTCTGTTCTATATTCCAATCTTGAAACTTTTCTTCATTACTTTGTACTCCTAAATTTTTACTAACTTGGATTACTGTTTGCATCGATAGTGTGCTCTCCACGGGTTTGATGAACATGTTATCATCAACCCACCTGAAGATCTTCTCTACGTTCAAGGTGACTTGTATTATGTCACGCCAAGCGTCCGCCATCCACCCGAAGGTACCACACCCTGCCACCCCACCGAAAAGAATTCTTGTATCTATCCAGATGTTACCGTTGAAATCTTTAATAGTTAGAAATCGCCATTGTGAACGGTGAGTGGCTCCTTGCCTGTGTGCCTTCTTCCAATCATAAATCGCTAATAACAATTTAATTCCTATTTTGGATCTAAAATAAGAAGCCACTGTATCAAAATCATCCCAGGAAGTTTCGAAATCTAATTTGTCTACAAAAGAATTTACCGATGGTATTTCTTCGGGGTGTTCGTCATAGTCTAAATTTTCAAACCATTCTCTAGAGACATCGGACTTGTTTATTTTCGTGAGTTTTTCATAATTCTTTTTATCTTTTAGTAAGGATCTCTTGGTTGACTGTTTGAACTTTGCATCTCTCGGATATGAGAGATGATTAATCATCCTCAAAGAAGTATCGTTGTTCACTACACTTCCCATCGGATTCGATCGGAAAAAGCCCCACCGTCTATAAACTTCTTCATGGGTAAAGGGGCCGAATATGTGTTTCTCTCGTCGTTCTTTATCACTGTGTCCACGAGAATTGCGCCGGACGTCCGGTGAGCTTGAAACTCCGTCAGAAGTGCGATGTTTTTGGTGTTTTTCTAAAAACGCGCGTGCCCTGTGCACCTGAGCTTTAGCTACGCAAGGCCAGGCAGAGATTTGTACCTGCTCATCTAAACCAGGTCGCGCGGAGCGTTCAGGCCTGAGTTACTCAGCATTACCTGCTCACATCCCTCTGCGCTCTGGTTGCTTTTGTTCCCAATGAACTGGGACAAGGTGGGGCGCCTGACGCTCTCGATTCCAAGGATCCAACAAAGGTTTCTCAAGGAAAGCCCGGGGAAGTGAAATCCATGTATCATAATCATTTGACATGTGTAATAAGGGATATATACAGTGGAGAGAAAGGGAAAGATGAAAAAATTCAAGATGGTGAACAAGTGATAAATCGGACAAATGACCATCTAAGTGAACCAGGGCCGTAATCATGTTAGGACTGGGAGAGATCCGTCTGTTTGAGAAATGTTTTCATGTATGATAATCGAGTAACATGTATAGATAGAAGATATAATTTCATGTATGATAATTGAGTAACATGTATAGATAGAAGATATAAGATACTTTAGGAAACCAGATTCATCAATTTAGAAAACACTACTATACTCTTTGTTCGTGTACTATAATTGAGTAACATAGATAGATGAAAGATATAAGATGATTGGAGAAAATTGTATACTCGGTTTTCTTCTTTTATCATCATTGAGTAACGTATAAAGATAAAAGATATAAGATGATTTGAAAAACTTGTATCATAATGCAGTCTCTGAGAAACACTACGTTACTCACTCTTTGTCTGAGTTGTTTACGACTCTTGAATTGTCTTTTGACATGAAGTCCAAAATTCGGGCGTCTTGTTTGAGTCAACACACCAACCGTGCTGATACCTGGAGGAAGATGTAAGAGGAAACGCATCCGCCGCATAAAGAGGAACTCGAGAACTGATCTTGTAGCGCTTATACGGTTGTACTGATAAGAGATACCAATTAGAAACAGGCAATTGTGAGGGAGTAAGATTGAGATTGTATCCCTACCATGCTGACCGTCTTCCAACAAGACGGAGAAGCGACGTTTCCTGACGTCTAGCGCTAGAGGCTGAGGAGGCAAGCCTTCCGACATGTGGCGCTTGTTGCGCTTGTAAGGTTGTGCTACATGAAGAAAGAAATCAGCACGGAGGGTAGCCTACGCTAAGAAAGATGGTGAGGGATTCTTACCGTGTGACTCATCAACTACAGAGAGTGAACAAGATCGTTTCACAGGTGCGTAATCGAATGGGGGCGACGGAGGAAGGGAAACGTCCGGGCAAGGGGAGTGAGCATAAGGTCGTGGGATCCGAGCTGCAAGGTGAGTAGCCAAATCTGGGGGTGACACGTCAGTCGCGGATGGTGGACGTGGCTGTCTTGAAGAGCTGGGCGTGGGCGAAAGACGATGGATTTCCAGATCTAGAAGTTGCTCGATTGTGAAATAGCATGCGGAACGACGAGATGACACGGTGCGAGATGATGTTGAACCAGTCGAATGTTGGAAGCTCTCGATGATAGAGGGCGGGTCGATGCTCATAGGGCTGGTGCGAGTGGAGGAGGAAGAAGTCGAGGGAAGAGTAAAAAGAGTATTGGGGTCGCCATAGTGAGGAGGCATGAGGGCGAAGGAAGCAGGGTCAATGCTCATGGGGCTGGGAGGTTCGGAGGTAGTAGGTATGATTAGAGCCGACAGAGCAGGGTCGGGTGAGGTGATGGGACTGGAAGGAGTGGTACAAGGTAAGACGGCAGGCGACTGAGGAGGGCCGGAAGACGCGACTGAGGCTGGAGGCGGGCTACTTGAAAACAATTGGCCCGGGGTTTCACGATTGGCTTGAAATCGGCGAGCTGCCAGGGCTGTGAAGGATATGAGAATACCCAAAAAAGAAGTGCAACAACGGTAGTAAGTAAATCAAAAATGAAGAGATCGAGATCAAGTTGACTTACCAAGCCAACTTCTCGCCTTGGTAGCACAGTTCTTGAAGTAAGAACGAGTGGATCGGAAACGGATGACCTTCATGATATGAATACGAGGAAAGGAAAGCAGATAACTTATGAACTAACTTATGAACAAGTGACGAGAACAAGACTTGAAATTTGTTGCTTGAAAGAAAGAAAGTGATCAAAGAGGTCGGTATAAATACTAAACCTGGTCGTCGTTATGAAGGAATTCGGCCAAAACGTGTAGATATCTAGGACAATGAAAACAAGAACGCGTAGATATCTAAGACAGTGAAGGGATCAGTGGAATGAAGGGTAGCGTTCCCTTTGATGGTCTCACCTGCAAAAAACCCAAGTACAAGGGTGGCGATGAATGCGAGACGGGTAAGGAGCGCATGTCCAAAGGGAACATAAAAGCGATCGCGGCAACGGTTCGTGATGTAATTGTGGTAGTGTGTCTTAGTGGTAGTGTGTCTTGGAAGTTAGCACTTGGTGAATAGCTTTGAGAGGAAGGGAAATGGTCGAGGAAAAGCGAACAAGAGGTGGGCACAAAGAAAAGCGAGTGGTGATTTGAGTTGGTCTTCTGAAAGGTTCTGCTGTAATGAATGTGAGGTTGGTTCGGCAGTTCTTGAAGGGTTCCGCTGGCTGTTTTGTTGTTTGAGAAGAATCCGCTACTTACGGTGCACTGACACTCAGACTTGATACCGACACCCAAAGTGGCAACGTAACCTTTCGCAAAGTGGTAAAAGTTAAAACAGAGTGGATCTTAATTGCAACTGAGACATAAGGAACTAAGGGTTCGTGATGTGTAATATCAATCCACCGCACATGAGGAATGAGCAATACTCAGAAGCCGAAGGACTTGATCGAAAGGCAAACACTTCCTCATTATGTGTACTACTTCATTAGACATGAGCGTTTTGTTACATATCATTTCATACGGAAGCGTTTGAAAAAGAAAGAAACAAAATGAGACCGGTCATTAATAGTATATATTACTCAAAAACATGTATCATATAAATATAAACAAAGAAGTATACAAAAGGTGGGTTAACAAGGTGTATTCAGGAAATTCAATTATCAACTGGCTTCTGGTAGCTGAAGCCATTTAGTACGTTCAATTAAGGGCCTCAAGTCATACTTGTGTGCAGATAGTTCAAGGCCCAAAACGGCGACTCTTGAAACATGTTGATTTATAAAGTCCTGGTCAAGTAAAGCTTTGGGAAATCCCTTTGGCGGTCGGGCAAGATAGTCTGAATCACTTATAGCGGAATAAGGTCCGCGTAAGAGAGTCTTACTAGCGGAGGTGATTGCCTGGTCAGTCTGCTGTTCTTTGATATACAGCGCGTCCAACTCGTGGAGGAATTCATTGAGATCTTTATGTCTCCAAAGCTTTGGCTTCCGGAATTCATTGAGATCTTTATGTCTCCAAAGCTTTGGCTTCCGGTAAGCGTGACCAGTAGAGTCCACTTCATCTTCAGAATGGATTGATCTCTCGGACAAGAGCGCTTGGAGGCTTCGGTGTTCCGGGAAAATTCTCTTGACAGTATTTTCGCGAAGCTTACAAACCTACAAAATAGATGGAGAATCAACTGCAAATCAGCATACTAAGTCAACAGGATGATTGATACAATCGAAAGGACTGACCCTCTTTCGTGATTCCCTTCGGCGAGTTTTCTCTTTTGCAGCCTCTTGCAAAAGAGCTTGGTTTTCGTCATCTTCTTGTGTCTGGTCACCGGATTGGTTTGAAAATTCGCGCGCCTTGGTCTTGAACCACCGGTCAATAACTTGTCTAAGATTTTTGGGCGTCACTTGTGTGGAATCAATGTCATAATCATCAGCATCACCCCTTTTGTAGCACTTCTCCCACTCTTGGATAATAATGCAAGATACGGCTTCATTCCATTTTGACTTGATGGTATCAGTCCAATCGTAAGTAAATCGCGCAAAGCCAGACAGGGCCAGTGCACCTTCGCAAATAGAGACGACCGTTGTTGAATAAAGAACGCCTGAATTCCTGAGGGCAACTAGAGAGGTAAATTTGACTGGAGGGATTGTGGAGATTGCGTCTTCAGCCGCGTGATCTGCAACTTTAGCAAGCTGAGCAGGTAGAGCCTTTGGATGTTTTCGGAGGTAGCGATTACGAGCTTTTTTGACACTCTTGTCAACAATGTGTCGACGCTCAGTTTTCCGTTTGTCCCAAGCGGAATATTCATCGTCCGAGGGTGGTAGAGGGAGCAATCGATTGCCCTTTTGGCCTTTACGTTTCCGAACAATACCTAGGAGCAAGTTGTGGTAATGATGCATTGCAATGGTTAGTCGTTCGTACTGAGAACACTCTACTGGATCCTTAGCTAGCTTTTCATAGCGAGTGCCATCATGTCTTGCCGTTGTCTTTCGAGCTCGGCGTGAAGCTCCCCGATTTTCATACTTGCGATGTTCACCTAGATCAAAAACTCCATCAAAGTCGGATTCTGGGGTATCTTGGTCATCTTCTTGCACATCATCCGAATCCGCACCATGCGATGATGGCGGCGCTGAGTCTTCTTCATGAGGGGATGTCGCTGCATGGGTTATAGAGTTAGAATTGGATTGATGGGCATTTGCCGCAGATGCTGATATTCTTTGGGATTGGACGCTTTGGCGATGGGTAGGTCGTTGGTTTGGCCGATTTTGAGTGGAATGTACGCTTTGGCGATGGGTAGGTTGTTGGTTTGGCTGATTTTGAGTGGAATGTACGCTTTGGCGATGGGTAGGTTGTTGGTTTGGCTGATTTTGAGTGGAACAGATAGACATCCGAAAAAGGGATGTAGGTTGGGTTTGCGGTTGTTGGAAGACGTTGAGCTCGGTTTGTGATGCCGGCCCATCATGGTCTGGCTGATCTCGAGTGGAACAAATAGACATACGAGCAAAGGAAGTAGGCTGGGTTTGTGGTTGTTGGAAGACGTTGAGCTTGGTTTGTGATGGCCCATCATGGTCTGGCTGATCTCGAGTGGAACAAATAGACATCCGAGAAAGGGATGTGGGCTGGCTTGGTGGTCGCTGGAAGACATTGGGCTCGGTTTGTGATGGTCCATCATGGTTTGGCTGATCTCGAGTAGAACAAATAGACATCTGAGCAAAGGAAGTAGGCTGGGTTTGTGGTTGTTGGAAGACATTGGGCTCGGTTCGATTTTGCATTTGAAAAGCTGAAGTGTGAGGACGACGAAAGGCTGGGTTGGGAAGTGGACTATGTTGCACTTGTTCTTGTTGGACAGTTTGAGTGTGATTTTGAATTTGAGTATGGACCTGAGAGTTCCGGAGTGGATTATTCAGATAACGACGATAGTCAGGCGCCC